AAACTTTTGGTAAAGTCAAACCTCATTTTACCACCAGGTGTTGCTAATGTATGAAAAAATCCCCTATTATAGATCGAATATAAACAAAGTACTTGTGCCCTTACTAGTTACATCGCCATCCGCCAACTGTCTCAATTGTACGATCCTTATTAAACTATTGTAAGTTTCCTCCATTGTACCTCCAGGGAACTGGCCGCCATAGCCATTATACAGAATACACTAGGCTATACACAATACACAACTCACAAGCTCATCCACTCAGTGGTTGCTTGACAGTCTTTCATATGCACGTCTCTATTGAGCTAGGTCTTGATCAAACGCTTTTCGCCTATTTGAAATTTGCTCCCTCTCTGCCCATACCACCTCCCCACCCTTGTCTTGTAGATTTCAGGCAATATAATTGATGGATTTTGTAGTGTCGCAAGCAAACACAATACAATGTACACATGTAGAAGAGTACAATTAAAATAAAACAGAACTTTGTAATTCAGTATCAAATATAGAGCTCCGCCTGTGAATGTGACTAAATTTTATGCACTGATTATGAAATGAAAATGCTATTATTTGTAGGCCTTGGACAATATTTTTTTTTAATTGATTTAATTTTTTAAGCCACCTGGAGACACTTTAAAGGAACCTCACCATCTTAGTCTCCGGCTGGCGAATGCCCCTGGGGCTTTTATTTTGTGAGGACTCACACTCAAGTCTAAATGACTCTATGGAAGGAAGATAACTCATCTAGTGCTTGGTAAATTCCCTTGACGTATGGCAGTCAGTGTTATATATGTGAGGCGTCGTGGTGAAATCAGGCGCTCGTCAAAATAAAAAAGTAAAAGCAGTTGGTCTATTTCTGGCCTTTCTGGTTCAACACCTTTCAGGTCTATAATAACACATTTCAGTGTGGATTTTACAGAAAAGACGATTAAAGGCGCAAAAAAAGTAAATTTTCAGTTTCCGCGGACTCTCAAGCTAGCTAAATAATTCAATTTTGGCGGCCGTTTTCTCACTAATTTTACCTCTGAAACCAGGTGACCCCCACCTCCTTCATTCACGAATATCTTAACTTCAATTCAAGATCAATGGATATTTTTTCATCAAAAGCAAGACAAATGAAAAAACTTTAAGATGTTACCAATAATTCCACCTGCCCAAATATTGAGAAGCGCCTGTTTCCACCATGTGGTGATACATATAATATATTATAAATATATGTATTTAACAGAGTACCGGTACATGAAAATCTCATTGTACCCCCAGCCACGTTGTATTGCCAATTTCATGCTGGTCCCATGGTACATGTAGTGGTAGGTGGTATATAACAAGGTTTGACTGTACTTTTCAACCTTAAGTTCTAGGTGTATCCTTGTAATATATTTGCACTTGTGGTAATTATTGTTTCAAGCAAATAATGAATCTGTTGTTGAGACTCAAAATGGAGCTCACATTGTAAACGGTCTTGTTATTTCGTTCGAGTCAAGAGTGTTAAAATAGTGATTTGTTTGGACTAGTGTGGATCAAAGAAAATACGCTCTACAACAACTGTAGAGCTTTGGAACATTAACGACATACAAAGATGGAGTAAAACATATTTCGTGAACAAATGTAAAATGTCTTTCTCTTGTGTTCAATAGTAAAGCGACTGCAAACACAGACCTTATTTTATAAAAAATGCATGTGTCTTTCTTCTCTTATAACTCTGGAGTATTACCACATGATATATGTAATTTAAAGATTTCTCATGGTGAGCAACATGATATATATTCGTAGTCAGTTTAGCGCAAATTTTAGGGGATCTATCGAGCTGATCTCAGGTAAACAATAATTTATTCAAACATGTCATATAACTAAAAATAGGACAAATTCGATACTCTACAAACATTTGTCTAGAACAAAACAAAATAAACATTTCAATGAAAAATAAATCTCGAAACATTCATCTTTCCTTTTCAGTACATCAGTGTAATGGTTTGCTGGGTGGGACGCAGAGGAAGTTATGTATCGTTTTAAAAGCAAAGTCGCTTCAGGGCTAATTAACCCCAATGACCTTCAGCCTGGGTCAGGGAGCTCCAGCATGCTGCTGAGTCACACCAACTTAAAGTTAAAGTGAAAAGGGACTCGATAACCATTATTGTGTTGATGTGCTTATTTTTACTCTTAACAAGCTTTAATAACCTGCGGCTCCATCTTTAAAATGACTATTTGTGTCAAGCGGGAAGTCAAACTTTCAAAAGTCTGAATAAAAAAAACAAATTTTTTGCAGCGACAGTAAATCAGTAAACTTCCAAATACATTTAGGCCTACACATGTACCGGTACATCAGACTACACACATATTTTTACGTTCAGTTTCCCAGGTCCAAGAGTCTTCTCATCCAATCTATGGAATGTTTTCTCTCTCAACCCAGTCCTAAAGCTCAACCTTTGAACTTACCTAATTTATCGCGACCTTCATCGAATTATCCTCAATTATTGTGACCTTCACATTCATTTAAATAAATGTAGCCTTTGAATTACCCACACTTATTGTGTCTAGAACGGCACCACTTTACCACAAATGAAGATTTTTTTAAAATCTTCTGCAACATGTCCATGGCAAAAGAAAACCTACTGATTGCACCTTCCAACCACCCAACAATCGAACAATCTGAGTCAGATGGAAGTATGTGTATACCATTACTACTATGCCTGGACTACCAAACTTAAAATGTTTAATAATTTAATGTGTCCAATGTGACTTTATGCGGTTACGAGCGCCCTAAAACACTAGTAACTCTTCGTTTTTTAGTAGAGTTTTTACGGCGCTCACAACTGCATACATACGGTCATATGAGCACCAAGCGGTGGATGTCAATAGAGAAGTAGAGAAGTCCAAGCAGGGAATCAGGCTTACTCTGCTCTCCTCTCTAGCTTCAACAGCACAAAGTCTGCAGGTCACAAGAGAGTGACAAACATACAAAATAAGTAGAAGAAAAAATGACGATAGTAAGGATTAGCAGTTCCTCGTATCCAGTTCAGGCACAGTTATGACTCATTATGAGCATGACATTGATGAATCAGCCCATTTACAATTTTACTGTCCATAAGAACATGTTAATGAATGTCCCCCCTTTGGGAATGGCCTCAAGACACTAGAAACTGTACAGCTGTGGAAAAACATCAAGCACATAATGCATAAGTAAGTGCACCAACATGCTAATCTTTTCTACCATCTGCCATTCCTTCAAAGGTAGTTTGTAAAAATGTTTTAACTCACTGCCTACCCATGCTGTGATCAAAGTTGATATTTCAACTGCCTAAAGTTGCCTTTGCCATGGCACCTGCAGTCTCCAAGCTTAGAATTTACTTTATTGTGTTATTTCCGCAAGCAATTTACATCCTTGACTCTATGTCAGTCAGTTAAATCGTAGTCGTAGATTCTACTGATTTTCTTAAAAATACACATTATATTGGAATACTGGATACTCAGAAGACAGCAAGGAAAAATATCACAGGAAGGCAGAGAGTTAAATTGAAAAAAAAATATGGGCTCTCTCCCTTTTTTTTTCATAATCCGTCCAATTTGCTCAAAGTAACAAAGCATGGAAGTAAAGAATACAGTTGGAGGTTTCCATTTTATTAACACCAACAGTGACTGCAGGTTCATGTTCAGAGTATTTGTTTAGTGTATTGTATCATGTACTGACTCTCATCAACAGATTATATATGAGCACATAATACAAACATGAAAAAAAAAATCAACATCTCTCTCTCTCTCTCTCTCTAACAGGCACACACACAATTTATCTGTCCTCTAGGTCCATTTTATAGCAGGTGATTTTTTTCATTCTTGTTTTGATTTATGTAGGCCTATAAAAGAAAATAACAAATCAAGATGGCGGACAGATGAGAGGAATTCGGGCAAAATTCAAAATCCATTTAAAGTAGGCCTATGATGAAAAAAAATGTTATGATTTTTCGTGGTAAGCTACCGGTAATTCACCGGATTCAAATCAAGACTCAATGTAGAAGCACCAAAATGAACAAATCAGAAAGAAATAAAGGATTTATAATTTATAAAGCCTTCCAAAACCATCAAACAAAATTATGCTCCATTTTTAAAGAAAAAAACTGTTGAAAGTTAAAGTGCAAGAATAAAAAGGCCTCATCATTGTCTAATAAGCTTATTCACACACTGGGCAGACTAACTATCAATTGTAATATTGGTACCCTATTTTATTTGGAACATAACTCAAGACTTGGGTTGAAATGTATGGTGTTTATTCTATTGTACTGTATACCAGTAAACCTCAGTACTGTGACACAGAGAGGACAAAACAACAGCTTTATCAAGGTCACCATCTTTTTAGGAGCTCAACTACAAGCAGTCTTCAATAAGGTCTAAATGAGAAGCGCTGAGACTGGCAGAAACTTTTTCTGAAATCAACTGTGTGACAATAAACTTGGTTCATGAGTTTTACAATGGGCAGAAAAATAAAAAATAAAATGAAATATGAGACGTGAAAGTCCTGACAACCTGGAGACACTAAGAAAAAAAGGTTTTATATATATAACCACTTGAATAAGGTGAGAAGTAAAGAAAAAGAAAGCAAATCTCTCTCTCTCTCTCTCTCTCTCTCTCTCTCTCTCTCTCTCTCTCTCTCTCTCTCTCTCCTCCTCTCTCTCTGGTTCTCTGTCTGTCTGTCTGTCTCTCTTCCTCCCTCCCTCTCTCCTGTCTAAATAATGTGAATATTGTACTGATTTTAATGAATGTTGGATGTGAAAAGGGATTTTAGGAGACTGGAAGTGTAACTGTTTGTCCCCTGCTCTGTATTATATTTTGCCCTTTCCTAATATTTATTTAACTAAGGCTAGTTAAATTCAGGGTATGGTTTCTCTATGTAATGAAGGTC